TTACTTGTTTTATATTAAAAAATTTTGTAGTAATACTTCATTGTAAATGAAAAAACGTACATGTTAATTAAATTTTTTAACAAAATCCCTTTAAATATTTTTATAATTGCGTTCACTGAGCCCTCTACTATTAAAATTGATTCTGATTTGTACTTGGAAAGGCATCCCTATACCATTATATAGGGGGAATATTTCACAGTGGGAAGATTGCAATTTTCTGAGAATCATTCACCACGTCTGCGACGAACTGTTTGATAACCATCCGGGCCATTTAAGTTAAACTACGACTTGTCAGAACACATTTTTGATGTCCACTTGGTTTGCGCCCAATTTAGTTTATTTTTAGCCCAACTTAACCTTTATGGTCTATATCATGACTAGATGATTACTGCAACTCTGCTTTAATTTCGGTTGTAAACTTGTCGTTTAAATCAGTACGGTCTTCTCTTAAGCCAGTGCTTCTTTTTCTTACTTAACGTTTCATTCTCTCTAGTTATCCAGTTTTACAATATTTTTCCAAAAAACGTCGCACAGAGCTTCCGTTAAAATGTGTGTGAATTTTCCGAATATACTTGTTTCGATCAGCCAACGAAATAAAAATAGCTTTTTGTGACAAAGAAAGCTACGTTTTCTTCTGCCTAATTTCGTTTCATTTAAAAGAAAACACGAATTGCAAGAACTAATCACACAAGCGAATGCTTTGAAATTAATAAAATTTAAATCAAAAAGTTTAAAAAATTTTTCTGAGTAGCCGTATGATCGTTTTATGCAAATCCGGGCAGTACCCAATACCATCTACAATAAAATTGTAAAAAACACTTGCTGCGGCTTTTTTTGTTTCGCTAGGTGCATGTACTAACTTAGTTTCATTACTAGATTTTACTTTATTTATACATATAAAAATCAACATTATTGACTCAATTGAGATAAAATATAAAATTAATTCACAAGGTGATCGACATATTGGCAATAAAATCTGCTCGAGTTACAAAAATCACTATATGAAGTATATTAGAGTTGGGGTATTTCGTGGACTGATTTTACATATTTTCGGCTTTAAACTATAGTATATCAAGAATTATATATTCACCTAATTTTGCTAAGATATCACAATGAAGGATATATAAAAGGATACATTTACCTGATTTTGTACAAGCGCATGCTGTTATCTTAAAACTATTCTCTCCAAATTTCAATACTAAACCACACAAATTGATTAATATTTCGGTTTTTCGGTCATAGGCACCGGGGCCACATATTCGGGACCTTCGATACATAACATTCTTCTCATATTTCTTTGTTATAGTGCGAAAATGGGCGAAATCGGATTACAACCACGCCTATTTCCCATTTAAAATCATTTTAAATTTTATCTGATTCTTTATGAAAAATTTGTTTAAAGTATAACCAAAACTGTTCAAGCTCTTAGATACTGAAAATATGGACCCCAGTGCCTATGGTTGACTTTTTACCGAAAATATCGGTCAATGTGTAAGGTACTTGTATATAGTTGAAATTCATATAATAAAATAAATAAATGAAACTCTCGACAATAGTATGTTTTTGTGTCAAAAATGGGTTCAATCGGATTAATATTTCCTTTAATAAAAAATTTTGCCAACACCTGAAGTAATTTCCCGGCCTTGGATCCTATTGCGTGAGTATAAAATGTTTGGCTTACACGAACTTAGAACTTCCTTACTTGTTTAATATAAAGTTTTGCTAGCAGCTGAAAGAATTTCCCGGGCTTTGATTCTTGCATGTTGAAAGAGTATAAAATGTTCGGTTACACCCGAATTTAGCTTTAAATTAAAATCAATTAAAAGAAAATAAATATAAAGCAGGAAAAAGAAGCCAAGTTGCTTATAACAGCAAACAGTATTATTATATTTTATTACCTGAGGAGGAAAATCAATATTTTACACTATCTCTAGGGGCATTAAAAATTACCAAGCAGAATAAATTGCTTTATTTCAAGCAAAGGGCTTTGCAACAACATTTTTTCCATTTTTCGTTTTAAATTGTTTCATTTATTTTGATTTTTAATATTAATATTTATAATGGCAGAGTGACAAAAACCATATGATTTTGGCAGAAGAGCTTAAAGATTTGGGTGTGTTCAGTGCAATCTAGCGTAGTACATTACTACAGTTACAGATAGTTTCTTGAGCTCTATTGTAGTACAAAACTGCATTTGCTTTGGAACGAAAATTTAAAATTCGGTTGACACACATATGTATGGCCACCGTAACATTCTACAATATGTATTATATGTCTGCCATTGACATAAGGAATTTTTAAAGTAATTTTTTTACACCTTGGGTTACATTGCTGGCATTTTAGTAATTTTAGCATTTTAGTCCCTAGCTTTTTTTGGAAATATAATATAGCCTATGTTCACGGTTGAGAGTGTAACTTCCCAATGGTGAAATAATTTTTCAAATGCGTCGAATATTATCGGAGCCTATTCAACTCAAACAAACATCAAACATTTCTTCTTCATAGTATTAGTATAGATAACCCTATATATATCTCGATTAGTTTTAGGTGTTTCAAACAAACATTAGGTGAATAAAACTATTATAATCTGTAGCAAGTGTGCAATAGTATAAAAAGGTTGCATAAGAATTGAAAATTCATTATTCTATGTTTTCATCATTGAATTACATTAGAGTATTATTATATTTTATAATTTAAATCAAAATTAACTCAACCAATGAGTCAAAATTTAATATATTGAGTATACGAGAAAAACATCAACCAGAGGAACTAAAATCATGGATCAGAGTTTGAAATTCTTATATTAGGTATATTTACTTAGGACCTCACATATTTACCAATGCACAGATTAACCTTTGCTAGCGATTCTTTATTAGATGGACTCCTCCCTTCAGCGGACATTTTTTCATGTACAGTTTTATGTGCAATTTTTAGAACAAACGACCGTCCCTTAGACGGACTACATCTTAGGCGGACGCGGACGATTATTTGCTATACTATTGAAAAAAAATCTCCACGGAGCGCACTCGAACGTTGTCTCAATGCACAAATATTATGTTTTAGCAACAAATCCAACCACAACCATTGTTGGGCGGACGCAAGCTCCTCATAGGTGGACAAAAGTAAAAAAAGTCTACGAAATTTTCGTTAGATACGTATTGAAGTTTAAAAAACATCATAGCGGTAGCATAGATACGTATTAATGAAATGAAAAAGGGGACTCCCCGAATAAAACCAAAGTTAGTACCCATGAAATTTCGTAGTTTTTTTACTTTATATGAACAATTTAATGTAAATAATAACAAAGAAGAATAATGATATAGACGTTTGAGGACAATGTTGAAATAAAAAGATGGTTTGTGAAATCAGAAGGCGGGGAGTGGAATTGATGAAATATGTTTCCCGTTTTTGCAAGTCGAGAAGCCTCTTGTTAGTAGAGTTTTTGCACGCCGGAGAGTTTTTGCGTCTACTGATATTAAAATCTTTCCAGTAAACTTTCAGTCAAAGTTAAATATGTTAGCAATGTTGACTTCAAAGTTTTCATTACCAAAAACACTCGGAGAGTATAGTCCGGATGACTTTTTCGAAATAGACAATACTACATCCACCGAAAACACAGACTCCGAGTTGGATGTTATAATTGACGAAAACTTAGAACATATTGATGACAATAGTACCAAGTATTTCAAATTTAAAAAGAGTTTGCAGCGAAGACCTTATTGTACTTAATCTCCTGCAAACATTGGAAATGCATTTGCAATTGTTTCCTTTTCAAAAAGCAACGATACTTGCCGCAATCGACAATTTCCGAGTTTTTTAATTATAATTGACAGTGAAATACTTATTTATTTTTTGTTATTTCTTAGATAAATGGATGTGTAGATACATATGCATATGTATTTAAATGGTCCTTCGATATTTGTTTGAGCAATATACAAGTAGTCTGACAATTTTTATTTAAATAATAAATTGGAGAGTATTAAATTAAATTAAATTTTTTTTTTAAATTCTGAAATAGCTAACCACTCACATATACTTTAGTTTGACAAGGCTCAAAAATAAGAAAAAATTTATATTAGTTTTCCTATGTAATTTATTTATTTACATATATGGAAAATGAAAAGTTAGAAGCAGGCGCCTCTTACGATACAAATTGAGAGCTAACATTTTTAGAGGTACTTTTGTAAGTTTTTAGCCTGTGCAAAAGTTTCGCAAAATATTTATTATTTTTTAACGTGCCTTAATTTTTGAGATTCTCATTAACTAGCAGCGGCCAATATCGATTAATTGGCGGTAACATCGGTGTCTTTAAAGTATTCAGCCTCTTGGTACTTTTAGGACCACATTTGAACATATGTGTGTATATTTTCAATCCACCACAATTCTTTCAGGATTTAACTTAAGAGCCTTGGTGAATAGGTGATGTTTGATTTCTAGAAATTCTACATTCTACGAACAACCGAAGCCAGCCGATATTTCTGCAGTCAAACGGTCTTCAAGTCTATTAATAACATAATACATTATATTGTGTAATATATTCAGTCGATTTGCGTATTTTGCAACTTTCTCTCTTTGTATTATGTTTTTAATAAATAAACGCTTATTAAAAAAACTACTCGACTATCACTACTAGAAGAATATTAAAAAAACAATGACTAAAAAAAGGGCTGCAGCTTATAAAAAACAAAAATGTTTACAGATAATTTTTAGGCTAGTGAAACTCCTCCCTTGAACATGTCAAAGGGTGGAATAAAACTGTCCATTTTACTGTCACTTAAGTGAATACAAGCTTATTCATAGAGGACTTGTTTTGCTTATTGTACATAAATAAGTACATAAGTATGTATGTAGAGGGGGTGTGAATAAGAACCCATAGAAAAACGAGTATTGTGATGCATCGGACTTTGTGCGTTTCTGGTTGGTTGCGTGGAATCGTGTTTGAACAGTTGCATTTGTGTAACACATAAATGTGTATGTGTGTTTGCTTTTTCTCGAGCAGGGGCTGTCGTCAATGTGGCTGAGATTTTGTTTTCGTTAACAGTTCGGCTTCGTTGCTCTTAGTGATATTCGTACAATCGTTTGAATTTCCGCGCACAATGAATGCTAAGAGATAAACGTTGTTTAAACGTGTTGTTGTGAAAATAAATTTAATATTTCACCGTCGGAGAACAAGTGTAAAGTATAATACACAACCAATAAAACAAGTGGGTGTCTTTGTTGTCAATAAAATGCATTATCAATCGAAATAAGCAAAGCAGTGATATATAAGATAAAATTTAATATCTCTAAATTATGCCAAGACCTCCGAGGGAATCATATGGCGACCAAAAGCCCCCATATTCATATATTTCCTTAACGGCTATGGCAATTTGGAATTCGCCTGAAAAAATGTTACCTCTGAGTGATATTTACAAATTTATAATTGATCGTTTTCCTTACTATCGAAAAAACACACAACGCTGGCAAAATTCATTACGGCATAACCTCAGTTTTAATGATTGCTTTATAAAGGTTCCTCGAAGACCAGAACGGCCAGGCAAAGGTGCTTACTGGGCCCTTCATCCACAAGCAATTGACATGTTTGAAAATGGTAGCTTACTGCGGCGTCGGAAACGCTTTAAATTACACAAACACGATAAAGATTATTTGAAAGAGGAACTAGCTACATGGGCGAATCTTAATCGTTTCTTTTTCACGCCACAAAATACGTCAACACCAGCAGAATTATCATTAATAAATGACTCTTCGCTATATTTAACGAATGTAGCAAATATATCTAAATTAACTCAATGTTCTAGCGAAAGCACGCATCCTATCACAAATTTTGCGTCAACTGCTATATCATTAGGATATCCACAAGTATCAATGTCAACAGATAGTGATACAACATTATCGAATATGTTACATCGTTCCCAAGTAATATCACCAATCATGGATGGATCAACCATTATTAACAGATCTCGGCAAAAACGTTCTTTTACTATTGAAAGTCTAATAACGCCCGATAAACTTGATTCAATGTCCGTAAAAGGCATTAACATTGACGATAAATCGTTTACTGAAAGACTGGAAACAGAAACCCTCAAGCATAATAGTCGGACCTTACACAGCTCTATACTAAGTGCTGAAATGAACCATCAACCCCTTCCTCCATTGCACACGATTACTGGAAGTACCCACATGCCCTTTCTGCACTATAATAGGTCGGGAGCTAACTGTATCAATTTGGATCCATGCTTAAATTCTACAACAGTTTACGATATTCCGCTGCACCCAATACTAATGATGAAATCTCCGCTTGGAAATTTACAACCGTTATATTTTGCCAATGTTGATATGCCAACAGACCAACATACGTCAACTAATTCTCGACAAAGTTCCAGCCTGCGAACTGTATGACATCATTAGTTATAATCTTCTATTTTTGAAATAAACTGGAGTCATCTTCTTTAGTTCCTAATGGCTGTTATGCATATATGTAATGTATTATTTTTTAAAATAATTTTTTATATATTTCTCTCTGTATATAAAATTTGATAATACAAAACCAATCATTAAAAAAGCATGATGTTAAGAACCAAATACTCGCCAATTAAAATTTAATTAAAGCATTTCTAGTCTACCAAAATATTAATTTTGTGGGTATATTAAAAGCTGTAATGTGTCTAATATTTATCATACCAAATTCGAATATATTATTTAATTTTTGTTTGAAAGAGTAAAAAATTTTGTAACCAAAAAACTAATAATTTAGCCGACGGCAAATCAAACTATCAACATCAAAAGGCGCAATTAGGAACTACAATATTATTTTATGGAAATTGGCAAAATTGCTGATTATTTTACATTTTAGAGTATTAATGCGGATTTCAAAAATCGAATTTTGAAAAATCTCAGAAAAAACTTGTGTAAAATGATGTACAACATGCAAATATATTCTCGTCAATTCAAATAATAAATAATATTAAATGATTGCTGATTAAATGTTTGCTAATCTTTTTAAAGCAGAATAAGAAGAGTATCTGTATGTGGAGGAGCACAATGTAACACATTTACTATCTTTCATTAAGACTTATTTTATAAAGTTAGAAACAAATTACATCCTTTTTAAAGTACATATTTTAAATATATAAGTGAATATTTAGAGGTTATTTACCGTTTTGTCAACTTTGTCCTTATTATTTATTTATTTTTGATAACAATACATCATTATTCTTGCTGAATTCAAATATCCAGTGTTATTGGAAACGTTTATCTTAATTTAGCAGCTTTTAAATTAAATTTTTTTATTTATATTAAAAAAAATATTTATATACAATATATATAAAAAAAACGGAAAAATCGCATAAATTTTCTACAGATCATTCTGAACAACTTTGCGTTACAATATATGGGTATAAAACCGGTTTCGAGCCAGCGATTTTTAAGGCGAAGTTTATCTTCCAGGAATTATATTGATTATTAGTCGGAATCAGCCAGATCGAACAACTATTGTATAACATATATCTCCCATGCAATCTATTACTCAGAAATTTTATTTAAATAGAAAAAAAGGGCAGTGCTTTTTTATTCTAACTTAAAGTATTGGACTTTTGAGTTAGCTTTTCCAAAGGCATGAACGTAAATTTTTTAAAGACAATTTAGACCTTTATTTCAATACTTAAATATTATAATATACGAAAAAACAATTACTGAACAGTTGCAAGCATAACAAAGAGAAAGGCTATCAATATTTGTTTTACTTAATATAGAAGCGTGTAAACTATTGTTTGTCGTAATGACTATTATTAAAAGATTATAAAAAGTCTAAAACAAGAAAAACCTTAACTTCGGTTGCCCCGAAGCTATAATACCCTTCAAAAATACAAAGGTTTTTTACAAGAACTTGATTCCGATGGTTTAATTTGTACAGCTTAATGCTATAATAAACCGATCTGAACAATTTCTTCAGAGATTCCATTATTGCCTTAGATAATGATCCGTTCCAAATTTCGTGAAGATATCTCGTCAAATAAAAAAGTTTCCCATACAAGCACTTGATTCCGATTGTTCAGTTTGTATAGCAGCTATAGTGGTCCGATATCGGCTGTCCCGACAAATGAGCAGACAGACGGACAGACAGACGGATATGGCTAAATCAACTCAGCTCATCATGCTGATCATTTATGTATAAATTTTATAGGGTCTCCGACGTTTTCTTCTGGGTGTTAAAAACTTCGTGGCAAACTTAATATACCCTGTTCAGGGACATACATTTCTCAAACCTTTAATAGAACAACATTTAAGAATTTATAATAAAAAACTATTTTTGTACCTAAGATGTGAGATACGTATATAAATATACGAAAATAGAATACAGAAAACGTCTTATTAAAAGCTTTTTTTAAGTTAAAAGAATTTCAATACTTCTTTGTCGACCATGCTATTACCTATTAAATTTTATTATACTTTTCACTCAGAATTAGAAGCTAGGAAATTTAAAAAGTAACCACAATCCCAGTGACTTCCGAATTAGTCGAATCTTCTAAACGTTGAATACTTTGGGCTTCTCAAATACATTTCACAGCTTATATAGTTCCGAACATGTGAACAAAATTTCAAATCTGCCCTTTTCATGAATCTATTGGTTTAAGCTATGCCAAAACTTTGGTGGAATAAATTGATCAAATATTCTTCTTTAAAAAGCGATCGAGTTTAGAATAAGTTGTTAAGACAAGTTTCAAATGGTGATTTCATATTTTGCTATTGACATACAATAGGGTTTTATAATTATAACTACACCTTCAAAACCCCTCACATTTTCAGTAAAAACTGTAAAATTGGCATACCCCTTTCTCTTTTTTCAAATCAAATAAGGATTTAAAATAATCTTCGTAAAAGTAATATAATTTCAGTAATATTTAAATTTTGCTGAAAGGACATCAAGTAAAAGTTGAGACCTAATAAGATTGAAATTAGTTCGTTGGTGAGGTATGAAAATTCACAAAAAAATGGATCATTATCATTGGAAGATTACAAGTATAATACATCTATGAGAATTATGACAATATATACTAAGTCTTGCCATAAATTCTGTTACAAAGTTTACAATGCATACAGTGAAAAGAAATTCGCAGAAAAAACTTTCGTTGTTTATTATAAATTGTATTCAGCGTCTACTCATACAAGGCGCTTTTCAAAGTAAACAGGACTTTAAAAAAAATACAGAAGAAATGGTTTTATCGGCAAAATCAATTAATTTTATACAAAATAGTCTCCTTTTGCTTTAATACAGCTTTTTGCACGGTCCAAAAGCATGTCGAACGAGTGTTTCAGCTCGTTGCCCGGTATGGCCGCCAGTATGCCGGTGCAAGCCTTTTGAATGGCCTCCACGTCTGCATAACGCTTTCCTTTCATCGGCAAATGCATTTTACCGAAAAGGTAGAAGTCGCACGGTGCCATATCAGGTGAATACGTGGAGTGGTTGTGATTTTTGGTCAAATAATCGGCCACAAGCGTCGATCGATGAGACGGCGCATTATCTTGCTACAAACGCCAACTTCCATCTTCGCGATATTCGGGCCGAACACGTCGAATACGGCGCAACAAACGCTTCAAAACTCCAAGGTAGAATACCGCATTAACGTTCTGGCCGGGTGAAACAAATTCTTTGTGGACAATACCCTTGGAATCATAAAAACAAATCAGCATTGTCTTCACTTTTGACTTCTCCAGGCGCGATTTTTTGGGTTTCAGCTCGTCCGGCGCCTTCCATTCAGCACTCTGGCATTTCGTTACGGAATCATATTGAAAACACCACGTTTCGCCAGCAGTCACAATCTTGTAAAGGAAGTTCGGATCTTTTTTTGCCTCTTTAATGATGTCCTTCGAATGTTGAATTCTGAGCAATTTTTGGTCGTCAGTCAATTTGTGCGGAACAAACCGTGCACACACCTTTTGTAAGCCCAAATGTTCGGTCAAAATGCGATAAATCGAGTTTTAGGATACGTTCAATTCATGAATTTCAATGATGACTTCGGCTAAAGTTTCGATGGAATTTTGGATGATCACAGATTTTGTTTGGCCCACATGTTCATCGTCATTTATGTCCTCACGACCACTTTGAAAACGTTGAAACCACTCGTGCACTCTGCTACAGGATAGGCAATCATCGCCATAAACTTGTTTCATCACTTGAAACGTTTCGGTAAAAGTTTTACCAATTTTAGGCAATAACTTCACTTCCAATAGATGAAATGTCATGAAATTTTTACTGGAAGTCGATAAAGGATAGATTCTAAAGCACTAGTCGACATATAGAGGGCGCCACTAGACTTTACTTTTTTACTGTTTACCTTGGAACGCACCTTGTATATGGTATAATAACCAGTTCATTGTTTGATTTCGCTTATTAACAACGGAGTTGACAGCTATATGAAATCGTATTGGGGTGGTTGCTTTACATAAATGTGAAAAAAGGGCAAGTGAAATTTATGAGCTTCTCGAAAAACTTAATATTTGAAGAACGTTTGTTTATCGCACTCCTGATCGTTTTTCCCAAACGTCTGCAGTTGATGACAGAAAGAGAAGTAGTCGCCGTCGCTAAGTTCGAATCAATTCAGCCAAAAAAAAAAACCTTTTGTCAAGGGAAACGGATATATCCACCAGCTGAATGCCAAAACTTATTCGATATGATTCCCACATAGAAGCCTACCGTCGGTCAACTGCTTTTACAGTGGCACGCGGCCAACGTCCATGAAAGTATCTCTTTTACGGATGGAAAAATGTTCACTGTTGAAAAAGTTTTTAATAAAAAAAACGAAAAAATCTACGCAAAAACTTCCAAAGACGCAAAACCGTTATTAAAAAGATTTTACGAGGCCGCCATCCAACTGCTGTAATGGTTTGGTGAGGAGTTTCCTGTAAATATATAACTCGTTCCAGCAGCGTCGGCAATACCAATAGAAAGTGTGCGTCCTGTTATTGATCAATGGCTGAATCCTTTAAGGGCTTGTGTGAAAGACAAAGGTGACCATTTTTAATAAAATTGTGCACATCTCTCATTTAATATACAAGTATGCATTATTGTTTAAAATTAACTTTATTAAAAACTGTATTACAGTTTCATTTTTATAAAAAAACTTGTTACAGAACTTATTACGGAATTAAGTAGAACAAGAGATCGAAGTTCAAAGAAAAATGAGAAGCATTTCGTTTTATAATTTCAGCTTCATTTTCATTTTTATGAATGCGGTATATGGTAAACACTTGTTGTTTGTGACACCACCTTTCGATGTTTCAGTAGCAGTTTAGAAGATATACAATATGTATGTAGTTAAGTAACCGTTAACAAGTTAAGAAGTAAAGAAGGGCTGAGTTCGGGTGTAACCGAGCATTTTATATCCTCACAAGGATCAACGACGAGAAAATACTCTCAACTGCTGGCAAAACCTTATTTAAACAATGTTGCGAAAGAATTCAACATTTATTATTCGACGAAAGGGTGAAGAGGTTACAATCAAATTATAAGCCGAATATTCGTTTAGTCTCATTAATATATTTTGGTTCATATCCGAGATATTAGTACTAAATTTAACTAATCAATGACAAACATGTAATAATAACTCAGTATAGAGAAAAATCAATCAGTGAAACGAATATTACTTATTAAATTTCAGATGAGAATTTAGACTATGGTCTAGACGGATTTAATTCATATTCAGCGGTAAACCACATTATGTTTATGCAAACATTGAAATATCACATATATTTATACATAAAAAGTCAGAAATCACTATATCGGGTGTATTTGGGCTAGACGATATATGTACCCGATTTTATCTATTTTGGACATTACGATACACCATTACTAGGAAAATTTGCTGTCTGAGTTTCATTAAGATACCTCACATATTGACCAATATATAAGGTATTAAGTCAATCGGATGTTTAAAAATCCTTATATTAGGTATATGTAGGCTAGGAGAAGTATGTAATCGATGTTTTCCCTTTTTGAGAACACGACATATTATTTCCATAAAACGATGCTCTCTGACTTGCATTAAAGTACCTCATATCTCATAAATCATACCTGATTCCGACTATTTTTAGACGGGAGAACGCATACCTTAAATACACTTTATACGCAAAGTTTTATTTATATAGCATCATTGGTTATCAATTTATAAAGAAGTTTTCAAAAGATTTCCCCTTAGCGAGTTTCGTTGATATAGGTTAAGTAGTTTCTGAGATATGCTTATTAAACCTCTTAGAGGGCGGGACCAGCCCCATATTTAAAAAGTTTCAGCTTGCTTTGTACA